GTGCTCAAATTGTTAATAAATAAATAAATATACAAGGTCTGAATTAAATGTGTACCATCGAGAAAAGGGCTACCAATTCACTTAAAAATTTGAATGACACAACAGAGAATAGATATAAGCTGAGAGATCACCAAAACAGAACAAAAACTAAAGCTGTCATACCAGACAGAAGCAACACAAAGGGAACAAAAAGCCATCAAGGATATTACAAGAAATCCTAAATATTTCCATACATACATGTATGCAAAATCAAAGCTAAGAACTACCTGTAGAATTGGACCATTAATCACAAGAGCTTCATACATGGATGATGAACAGGAAATGAGCAAAATCCTAAAAGATCAATACAAGTCACTGTTCAGTAACCCATTAAACAAAAGCATTGGGCATGCAGCCCAAATAACCAACATTAGCACTAGTCCCATAGAATCTGAAAAAGATATAGAAAACATGCCCACCCATTTGGACTGGATTCATGGAATTCCTTACTTATAGAAAAAGTCCTAGGTAGTAGGTTGGTAGACATCAACCACCCAGGAAAATATGTACTGCTGTCCTGCCAAGCGAGCATAAAATGGAAACCTGTAATTGTTGTACATGATGGTAGGATTGCTGGTGTCTTTTCTGTCTCATAAACACATGGGATACCAGGTATATCTTGCTACTTCTACTTACACTTAGGTCACACTACACATTCATGTTCACACATATATACATTTATGCACCCATCTGGGTTTTCTCCTATTTTCTTAATAGTTCTTCTTGTTCCTCTTTTATTTCCTTATCTCCACGAGGAAATGGAAAAGAATTCTTCCTCCACAAGCCATGCATATTGTAAGAGGCAACTAAAATGCCAGGAGCATGGGGCTAGTAACCCCTCCTCCTGTATAAATTACTAAATCTAAAAAGAAAAACTTTCATCCTAACGAGTGTAGACCTAGCTCCTTTGCTTAAGGGAGGCAGTTGAGCGCTAGCCAAATATTAGACCATTAACCCTAACATCCTACATCATAAATGTCTTTGAAAGAATGCCAACATGGCAAATAATAAATTTTGTAGACCAATATAATCTGAACAACCCAAACTAGTATAGTTTTAGAGCTAGGAGATCATGCTTCTTACAACCACTTAATCAGACAGATGCAGATGTGCTATACATGAACACAAATTTTGCAAAGGTGTTTGACAAATGTAATCATAGGGTGACTGCACACAAAATGGCTACAGTCATAACAGGGAAGGCAGGCAAATGACTTTTTGAATTTCTGTAGACAGAACATAGAAGAAGAACATAGAAGAAGAACATAGAAGAAGAACATAGAAGAAGAAGAAGAAGAAGAAGAAGAAGAAGAAGAAGAAGAAGAGAAGCAGCAGCAGCAGCAGCAGCAGCAGCAGCAGCAGCAGCAGCAGCAGAAAGCACAGCAGCAGCAGCAGCAGCAGCAGCAGCAGCAGCAGCAGCAGCAGAGACAGCAGAGCAGCAGCAGCAGCAGCAGCAGCAGCAGCAGCAGCTAGCAGCAGCAGCAGCAGCAGCAGCAGCAGCAGCAGCAGCAGCAGCAGCAGCAGCAGCAGCAGCAGCAGCAGCAGCAGCAGCAGCAGCAGCAGCAGCAGCAGCAGCAGCAGCGCAGCAGCAAGCAGCAGCAGCAGAGCAGCAGCAGCAGCAGCAGCAGCGCAGCAGCAGCAGCCAGCAGCAGCAGCAGCAGCAGCAGCAGCAGCAGCAGCAGCAGCAGGCGCAGCAGCAGCAGCAGCCAGCGCGCAGCAGCGCAAGCAGCAGCCAGCAGCAGCAGCAGCGCAGCAGAAAGCGGGCAGCAGCAGCAGCAGCAGCAGCAGAGCAGCAGCAGCAGCAGCAGCAGCAGCAGCAGCAGCGCAGCAGCAGGCAGCAGCAGCAGCAGCAGCAGCAGCAGCAGCAGGCAGCAGCAGCAGCAGCAGCAGCAGCAGCAGCAGCAGCAGCAGCAGCAGCAGCAGCAGCAGCAGCAGCAGCAGCAGCAGCAGCAGCAGCAGCAGCAGCAGCAGCAGCAGCAGCAGCAGCAGCAGCAGCAGAGGCAGCAGCAGCAGCAGCAGCAGCAGCAGCAGCAGCAGCAGCAGCAGCAGCACAGCGCACAGCAGCAGCAGCAGCAGCAGCAGCAGAGAGCAAAATCTAGCTTCAGTGAGGCAACAAGCACTGTTTCTCATCCTCAATGCATAGATAAAAACACTTGCTACAAATTTCTATCATCATCTGTAGACAACACTAATGTCAGCATAGTTGCTGATCCCCTTACATGTGTTGTATATCCATGTGTTTATATAGAAGATCCCTAGGCCGAGTGACTGTATGACATCATGGGATACAGCTCGAGTGAGTGAGACGAGCTGCCTCGTCCTCACTCCACGGATAGACACAGAAGCAGGCAGAACATGGCAGGCCTGGGCTCCCACCTCTCATCACAGTCTGACAATATATAGTGTTACCATCCACAAGTGTGTTTATCTTCAACCATCATATCTCCTTTCGAACCCCTACGACACTAAAATATGCATGAAAAATCACTTCAGCAGAAAAGACAAAAATTGCAGAAAGATATAAGCTGGGTTTTCCAGTAGGCAGTGGAGAACAACATGACATTCAGTAGTGATAAGTTCCAGCTGCTTAGATATGGAAAAAGAACTGATAAGGGTCACTGTTTACAAAACCCAAGAGGTTCATCAAACAGCATGAAAGATTTGAGAGTAATTGTGTCACCTGAGCTTTCTTTCAAAGAACACAATAAAGCAAATGTCATGACAGCCAGGAAAATGACAGGGTGGATAATGAGAACTTTCAAAACATGGTAAACAGTAAGAATGGTGACATTTGAAATCCCTTGTGCTCTCTCATTTAGAGTATTTCAGGTCAGGATGTATATCGAAGTAGAAACAGACTGAGATCATTTACAGCCCACAGGGCCAATAAACTATTTCAATTACTGGGAACACCTTGAAGTCCTAAACACGTATTTTAGAGATGGAGAGAGATACACGATAATATATACAGTGGAACCTCGGTTTTTGTCATTAATTCATTCCAGAAAGTCTGACGCAAACCGAATTTGACGAAACAAGAAGCAATATTTCCCATAAGAAATAATGTAAATCCAATTAATCCGTTTCAGACACCCAAAAGTGTTAACAAAAAATACATTTTATAGAGAATAACTATAGTTCTACATACAGAAAACAATGAAAAATAAATATAAAGGACTAATGAAATGGATAAATGAACATATAACATCACTGTTACCTTTATTGAAAACTCTTGTTGGCGTATAGCAGACAGCGAGGAAGGGAGAGGGAGGAGAGGTTATCTCTACCACCATCACTAACATCCTCTAGCATAATCACTACTACCCTCTGCCTCCATCACAGCCACTATCACCCTCTACCACCATCACTACCACCCTCTACCGACAAGAAACAAAGCCAGACTGACTGACGCATGGGGTGTTTTGCGTGGGTGCGGGAGGACACGCTCAGTATAGCGGACCACTGTCAACTTTGATGAAGACTGAGGTGATGAATGAAAACTGGGACAAAAATTTGACAAAAAAAGTCATCGAAAACCAAATTTGACGAAAACCAGGGCAAACAAAAACCCAGGTTCCACTGTACATGGAAATTACTACAGGGCCTAGTCCCAAATCTGCACTGCCATAAGATAAGGAGAGATATGGGAGGAAGTGTAAAATAAACCAAGTAAAAAGCACACTAAGAGAACATTGTACCAACATGTGGCACCGGACTATTTGTCAGCTCACTAAAGACATTAGAAACACTACAGGGACAAGTGTAGAAACCTTCAAGATGAAACAGGACAAGTATCTTCACCAAGTGCCAAATCAACCAGGCTGTGATGGTTATGTAGGCCAGCAGGCCATCAACAGCAACTGCCTAGGTGACCAGAAAAGCACCAGATGAGCCTGGCCTGAGGCTGGACCTTTAAAGTAGAAAAACTTGAGAAACCCATCAAAGGTATATCAAAGGAGAGTGAAAATTTAGTATGAACTTGACAACAAGAAAAATGAAAATAGTTAAAAGTCCTGCCAAGCAGTTTACATTAGGTGACATGTAGCACTGTAAATTCAATAACTATAGATAATGATTAATTTAAGTAATAAAATTCAGTAAAAATATTGAACCAGTAATGCTCATACAGGGAAACCAAAAAAAAAAAAAAAAAAAAAGAGTTGAGGTATTTTAAATAAAAACTGATTAAGTGATTTGACTTTGGTCATCTGCCTGTTCAGTCCCAGGCTATCAACATGGGCAGGGAACCAACAGAACTCCGCATCCTTGTGCAATGTGTGGAAATGGAATAACCATTCCTGCATCTTTTGGACCACAGGGTGAATAGAAGCATATTGGGCCAGGGCATACAGAGCACACAAGTCTGAGTAGACAGTGAGCTTTGATCCACATATGCTGGCTATCAGGAGCAGTGAGGACTACATGGAGCTCTGCAGTACCCAGAGGACTCCATAAGTAACTCAATGGTGATCACTGCAAAACTAACACTGCCCTCTCTCTTTGAACCTTCAGTAAAGAACATTAGATATTAAAACAATTATAAGATGAATTAATATATTTGTGATATACCTGTAACCTGTTTCCAGAGTTTTCCTACCCTCACAGCCGGCCTGTTTACTGAAGATGGAAGAATAGTCCTGCTCTTGTAGGCATAAAGAGAATCACACACACCAGCCACTGTACTAAGGGGAGGCTTTTCCATATGTTATAACTGGAGGTAGTGTTGTATCAACTAGATCCTGAGCAGTCACCATAGTGCTAATTCTGTTACATGCCATTTCATTAGTGAGGCAAACAAATGTGTCTTGTAGTATCATATAATATAAACAACTGTTGCATTTATGAGCCAAGATTAAATTTCTACCTTTGATAAACCTTTGATGGATTTTGAGAATTTTCCTACTCCTGCAGCCTGGCCCTGGGCCAAATACAAAATATGCACAATTATTTAAGACACTTACGGTTCAGCTTCTATACTTTTTAGTTTAGCCACGTAATTTGAGGGAATGTAGCCATCTTGTTTCGTGGCTTTCGATCTTGCGAACCACCAATCCCCTTGTGTATCATTAAGAATTTCTAAATGTTCTCCTTTACGGAAACTTAAGTCCTCGTCTGTTCTAGCATCATAGTCATAAAGTGCCACAAATATTTTAGACGTAGCTGCAGTACCCTCAGGGTCTGGCAGTGAAGGTAAAGTTGGGTTAAGGCCATTCATTGGCCGACCACCAAGGGCCTGATTGTCTGTGGTACCCCGTGTGGCACCGGTGGGGTCACTGATTGTGGGGCCAGTCAGTGGTGGGGATTGGACCTGGAAAGAAAAAAAAACATTTGTTTTACTTTCATAATGAACTACAGACACAGTATCAGCAAATTAATTGTACACATTTAAAATATCTAAGCATTCTCTTACTCTATAATACACCTATGTGTGAGCCAAGCTTTGTATTAGTTTCTCATACATACTATGAGATTAACTTTCTCATTCTTCTCTATGTCTTCCAGCACATTTATGTTCATTCTGTAATATGGAGACCAGAATGGAACAGCATAATCTAAATGAGGCTTTGCCAACAATATATAAAGTTAAAGTATAAACTTGGGATCTCTATTATTTAGAGTTTTTGACATTTAGTCAAAAAGTCTATGAGCTTCATTATGAGCAGTTACTCACTACTGTCTTAGCTTTAGATTTCTGCTACACAGAACTCCTAGGTCTTTATTTTTTTTTTACATCCAGTTAAGATTTACAATATTTAGTTTCTAGGTGCCCTGGTTAGAATGCTTCATTTTTTTTTTTTTAAACAAACTGGCCATCTCTCACAGAGCCAAGGTGACCCGAGAAAGAAACATTTTCACCATCATTCACTCTATCACTGTCTTGCCAGGGATACATAGATACTAAAGTTCAGAGGCCCCTCTAAACTGCAAGCAAGCAACTAAATAAGGAAAACTACAGCAAAGGTTTTTGCAACCAGCAACAAAAGGAATATGTGGATATAATTTTAAAGAAAAAATGCACTACTTATAGTATACAGTACTGTAATTACTGGTACATACAAAACTTTCTACCTTTTACATTTTTTTTTTTTTTTTATTATCACACCGGCCGATTCCCACCAAGGCAGGGTGGCCCGAAAAAGAAAAACTTTCACCATCATTCACTCCATCACTGTCTTGCCAGAAGGGTGCTTTACACTACAGTTTTTAAACTGCAACATTAACACCCCTCCTTCAGAGTGCAGGCACTGTACTTCCCATCTCCAGGACTCAAGTCCGGCCTGCCGGTTTCCCTGAATCCCTTCATAAATGTTACTTTGCTCACACTCCAACAGCACGTCAAGTATTAAAAACCATTTGTCTCCATTCACTCCTATCAAACACGCTCACGCATGCCTGCTGGAAGTCCAAGCCCCTCGCACACAAAACCTCCTTTACCCCCTCCCTCCAACCCTTCCTAGGCCGACCCCTACCCCGCCTTCCTTCCACTACAGACTGATACACTCTTGAAGTCATTCTGTTTCGCTCCATTCTCTCTACATGTCCGAACCACCTCAACAACCCTTCCTCAGCCCTCTGGACAACAGTTTTGGTAATCCCGCACCTCCTCCTAACTTCCAAACTACGAATTCTCTGCATTATATTCACACCACACATTGCCCTCAGACATGACATCTCCACTGCCTCCAGCCTTCTCCTCGCTGCAACATTCATCACCCACGCTTCACACCCATATAAGAGCGTTGGTAAAACTATACTCTCATACATTCCCCTCTTTGCCTCCAAGGACAAAGTTCTTTGTCTCCACAGACTCCTAAGTGCACCACTCACTCTTTTTCCCTCATCAATTCTATGATTCACCTCATCTTTCATAGACCCATCCGCTGACACGTCCACTCCCAAATATCTGAATACGTTCACCTCCTCCATACTCTCTCCCTCCAATCTGATATTCAATCTTTCATCACCTAATCTTTTTGTTATCCTCATAACCTTACTCTTTCCTGTATTCACCTTTAATTTTCTTCTTTTGCACACCCTACCAAATTCATCCACCAATCTCTGCAACTTCTCTTCAGAATCTCCCAAGAGCACAGTGTCATCAGCAAAGAGCAGCTGTGACAACTCCCACTTTGTGTGTGATTCTTTATCTTTTAACTCCACGCCTCTTGCCAAGACCCTCGCATTTACTTCTCTTACAACCCCATCTATAAATATATTAAACAACCACGGTGACATCACACATCCTTGTCTAAGGCCTACTTTTACTGGGAAAAATTTCCCTCTTTCCTACATACTCTAACTTGAGCCTCACTATCCTCGTAAAAACTCTTCACTGCTTTCAGTAACCTACCTCCTTACACCATTACACTTGCAACATCTGCCACATTGCCCCCTATCCACCCTGTCATACGCCTTTTCCAAATCCATAAATGCCACAAAGACCTCTTTAGCCTTATCTAAATACTGTTCACTTATATGTTTCACTGTAAACACTGGTCCACACACCCCCTACCTTTCCTAAAGCCTCCTTGTTCATCTGCTATCCTTATCTCCGTCGTACTCTTAATTCTTTCAATTATAACTCTACCATACACTTTACCAGGTACACTCAACAGACTTATCCCCCTATAATTTTTGCACTCTCTTTTATCCCTTTGCCTTTATACAAAGGAAACTATGCATGCTCTCTGCCAATCCCTAGGTACCTTACCCTCTTCCATACATTTATTAAATAATTGCACCAACCACTCCAAAACTATATCCCCACTGCTTTTAACATTTCTATCTTTATCCCATCAATCCCGGCTGCCTTACCCCCTTTCATTTTACCTACTGCCTCACGAAACTTCCCCCACCTCACAACTGGCTCTTCCTCACTCCTACAAGATGTTATTCCTCCTTGCCCTATACACGAAATCACAGCTTCCCTATCTTCATCAACATTTAACAATTCCTCAAAATATTCCTTCCATCTTCCCAATACCTTACCTCTCCATTTAATAACTCTCCTCTCCTATTTTTAACTGCCAATCCATTTGTTCTCTAGGCTTTCTTAACTTGTTAATCTCACTCCAAAACTTTTTCTTATTTTCAACAAAATTTGTTGATAACATCTCACCCACTCTCTCATTTGCTCTCTTTTTACATTGCTTCACCACTCTCTTAACTTCTCTCTTTTTCTCCATATACTCTTCCTCCTTGCATCACTTCTACTTTGTAAAAACTTCTCATATGCTAACTTTTTCTCCCTTACTACTCTTCTTTACATCATCATTCCACCAATCGCTCCTCTTCCCTCCTGCACCCACTTTCCTGTAACCACAAACTTCTGCTGAACACTCTAACACTACATTTTTAAACCTATCCCATACCTCTTCGACCCCATTGCCTATGCTCTCATTAGCCCATCTATCCTCCAATAGCTGTTTATATCTTACCCTAACTGCCTCCTCTTTTAGTTTATAAACCTTCACCTCTCTCTTCCCTGATGCTTCTATTCTCCTTGTATCCCATCTACTTTTATCTCAGTGTAGCTACAACTAGAAAATGATCTGATATATCTGTGGCCCCTCTATAAACATGTCATCCTGAAGTCTACTCAACAGTCTTTTATCTACCAATACATAATCCAACAAACTACTGTCATTTCGCCCTACATCATACGTGTATACTTATTTATCCTCTTTTTCTTAAAATATGTATTACCTATAACTAAACCCCTTTCTATACAAAGTTCAATCAAAGGGCTCCCATTATCATTTACACCTGGCACCCCAAACTTACCTACCACACCCTCTCTAAAAGTTTCTCCTACTTTAGCATTCAAGTCCCCTACCACAATTACTCTCTCACTTGGTCAAAGGCTCCTATACATTCACTTAACATCTCCCAAAATCTCTCTCTCTCCTCTGCATTCCTCTCTTCTCCAGGTGCATACACGCTTATTATGACCCACTTCTCGCATCCAACCTTTACTTTAATCCACATAATTCTTGAATTTACACATTCATATTCTCTTTTCTCCTTCCATAACTGATCATTTAACATTACTGCTACCCCTTCCTTTGCTCTAACTCTCTCAGATACTCCAGATTTAATCCCATTTATTTCCCCCCACATATCAGCAGTAAATACCTGACCTTATAATTATGTACATATCTAATCTAACCAAACCTCAAGAGCTGCTTCAAACTTTAAATTTGTTGGCAATGGATTGGAGAATTGTTTGTCAGGAGAAATGAGAAAACTTTTAATGAGGGTCTTAGCCCTTAGTCCTATGTTTATCCACTCAGTGGAGCATTTGGTCATCTGACCGAGGTCTTCCACTGACTTACTGGTAAAATCTGTTAAAAAAATAAATAGTATACTGTGTACATATGTGTGTATGTATTTGCACATACATGTACACACACGTACCAAATCATAAGATTTGTATTGTACTGATTTGTTAGAAAACATTTTATATTAATTACCAAAGAAATTAAATGTAGTAGGAATTTACTTTTCCATATGTATACATGTATGTAAAAAATACATACTACCAGCTTCATGTTCTATTTAATCAAAGAATAGCCTAAAAAATCTAATTTATGGAATTAAAACTCAAGTTTCTTTTCAACTTGGGATCAAACTTGCATTACCCAAGAAAACTACATGATCTGTTATATCTAGATCATTGTAACAATGCCATACAAATAAGGGGACCCAAAATGTGTAACTATATACACCTGAAAAAATTCTAGGATTGGTCCCAAATCTCCACATACAAATCATTCTCCATAAAAGTAAGAGGCTTGGCAGATGGTGCAAAATACCCCCAAATGAAGAGCAGGGGTGCTGTAAGTACACTAAGGAAAACCCAATATGTGTGAAGAGACCAAGACTTTTCAACATTCTCCCTTTTTACAGACCCCTGCCTGTCTTCAAGAAAGAACTGCACAAGCTTCTCAAGTCAGTGCCTGATCAGCCAGGCTGTGGTACTTATATTGGACTGTTCAGCTATCACCAACAGCTGATTGGTCAGACCATCGGCCAGGAGGCCTGAAATGCCTAGGCATGCTAGTGGCCTTCTTTGTAATTAATGCTTTATAACATGTAAACCACACATTGTAAGCTTTACAAGGAAATAAACTTTGTCACTAGCTGGCCCAGTGGCTAACGCGATGGTATGGAGTTTTGACTCTCTGATCGCGTGTTCTATCCCCATCTGTGGTATGTTTTTTTTAAATAAACTTTGTCACTGTTATCTTGGACGGACTCATCATAAACCTCAAGATTATTAATCAGAGATTCTGCGTTTGCCAGAGCTAAGCCAAACAGGATATTTCCTTTTGTTGGTTCTGTCAAACTGTTTTAAAAAGTGGTCCTGAGGTATTTCTAGAAGATTGCTAGATTCTACATTTTCTGAAAACATGCTGCAATTGATGTTTCTAAAGTTAAAAATCTCCCATTAAAATTACATTTTTTTGTATCTAAATGCCTTAGGAATTTTACCCCATGTAGGTTTACCATGATCATCTGGTTTTGAGATCTATAGATGACACTTAAGATTAGCTTTTCATGCTCTCTGAGAAGAATGCAGCCAAAAAAAAATTACAAGTCAGTCCTTTCCAGCTTCACATCTTATATGATGCAAGTTTAAATTTTCTGTAATATAAAGTACACCGCAATTTTGCTCCTCGTCTTGCTGACTCTTTCAGAGCTGAATAATTGATATTACTGTATACCTGGAGAGGGTTTCAGGGACCAATGCCCCCACAGCACAGTCTGTGACGAGACCTTGTGGTGGATCAGGGCCTGATCAACCAGGCTGTTACTGCTGGCTGCACATAAACTGATGTATGAACCACAGCTCGGCTGATCAGGCACTGAATTTAGGTGCCTGTTCAGTGCTTTCTTGAAGATAGCCAGGGGTCTATTGGTAATCCTCCTTATGTATGATGGGAGGTAGATGAACAGTCTTGGGCCCCTGACACTGTTGTCCCTTAGTGTACTCATGGCACCCCTGCTTTTCACTGGGGGAATGTTGCATCTCCTGCCAAGTCTTTTGCTTTTGTAGGGAGTGACAGCTGTAAATGACAATCGAAAGGTTTGTCCCTGTTTATTAGGTTGAATTAAGTCTTTTGTTATTGTAATGATATCTGCACATGCAATTTGTATTACTTCCTCTATTTCTTGTACTTCAGCTAAGTTAATGCCTCTTGCTACTGTCTCTGATGACCAACTCCAGTGTTTTTATCAGTACAGTATCTTGTTCCTGAATGTTTTCCTAAAATATCTTGGCAATTCTTGCTTCATTCGTCCCTAGCACAATACTGCAACCTGTTTAACATTAGTTTACCAACTACAGCACTACTAGTAAATGGTCCAAGTCAGACCAAAACAATGTCATAACTTTTAGTCTTAAATGTGCAGGTTATTTGTGTATTGCTCCAGTCACAGTATTATGCCTTTTTTATTTACAATATACTACTTGGCAGAACTCTGGTACAGTATTAATATGCATGTGTGTATAAACACTCATTTCAGTAGGGTTCCTCCCAAACTAAGCAACAGCCCCAGTATGCCTAGCAACAGCCCCAATATGTCAATTACAATCAAAACTAAGCATTAAACCCACAAGGGTATCATCCCACTATGCCTAGTAACAATTCCAGTATACCTAGCAATAGCTCCAGTGTGTATCTAAGTTTCATTTAGGTACAGGTACACACAAGTACAATTATCAAACATACTTTAACATGTGTAAATTACCTAGGATAACCCAAAACAAGTCAGACAATGACTTATTTCCACTGGGGTCCTAGTAGGATCCCCAGTATGTCTAGCAGAATTCCCAGTACGTATACTTATCAGGACTACAAGTATGCCAAGCAAGACCCCCCTCCTAAACCCAGCAGCGTCCCTCTCACACACAGCAGGGGGTCCCTCCAACACACAGCAGGGGTCCCTCCAACACACAGCAGGGGTCCCTCCCACACACAGCAGGAGTCCCTCCAACACACAGCAGGGGGTCCCTCCCACACACAGCAGGGATTCCTCCAACACACAGCAGGGTTAACTCCAACACACAGCAGGGGTCCCTCCAACACACAGCAGGGGGTCCCTCCCACACACAGCAGGGGGTCCCTCCCACACACAGCAGGAGTCCCTCCCACACACAGCGGGGTTCCCTCCCACACACAGCAGGGGTCCCTCCAACACAGCAGGAGTCCCTCCCACACACAGCAGGAGTCCCTCCCACACACAGTGGGGTTCCCTCCCACACACAGGAGTCCCTCCAACACACAGCAGGAGTCCCTCCAACACACAGCAGGGGGTCCCTCCCACACACAGCAGGGATTCCTCCAACACACAGCAGGGATCCCTCCAACACACAGCAGGGGGTCCCTCCCACACACAGCAGGGGGTCCCTCCCACACACAGCAGGGGGTCCCTCCCATACACAGCAGGAGTCCCTCCCACACACAGCAGGGTTCCCTCCCACACACAACAGGGGTCCCTCCCACACACAACAGGGGTCCCTCCCACACACAGCAGGGGGTCCCTCCAACACACAGCAGGGGTCCCTCCAACACAGCAGGGGTCCCTCCAACACAGCAGGGGTCCCTCCCACACACAGCAGGGGATCCCTCCCACACACAGCAGGGGGTCCCTCCCACACATAGCAGGGGGTCCCTCCCACACACAGTAGGGTTCCCTCCTACACAGTAGGGTTCCCTCCCACACAGTAGGGCTCCCTCCCACACACAGCAGGGGTCCCTCCAACACACAGCAGGGGTCCCTCCCACACACAGCAGGAGTCCCTCCAACACACAGCAGGGGGTCCCTCCAACACACAGCAGGGGGTCCCTCCCACACACAGCAGGAGTCCCTCCAACACAGCACGGGGTCCCTCCCACACACAGCAGGGATCCCTCCCACACACAGCAGGGTTCCCTCCAACACACAGCAGGGGGTCCCTCCCACACACAGCAGGGGGTCCCTCCCACACACAGCAGGGGGTCCCTCCCACACAGCAGGGTTCCCTCCCACACACAGCAGGGGTCCCTCCCACACACAGCAGGAGTCCCTCCCACACACAGCAGGAGTCCCTCCCACACACAGCGGGGTTCCCTCCAACACACAGCAGGAGTCCCTCCCACACACAGCAGGAGTCCCTCCCACACACAGCGGGGTTCCCTCCCACACACAGCAGGAGTCCCTCCAACACAGCAGGAGTCCCTCCAACACACAGCAGGAGTCCCTCCCACACACAGCAGGGGTCCCTCCAACACACAGCAGGAGTCCCTCCAACACACAGCGGGGTTCCCTCCCACACACAGCAGGAGTCCCTCCAACACACAGCGGGGTTCCCTCCAACACACAGCAGGAGTCCCTCCCACACAGCAGGAGTCCCTCCAACACACAGTGGGGTTCCCTCCCACACACAGGAGTCCCTCCAACACACAGCAGGAGTCCCTCCAACACACAGCAGGAGTCCCTCCAACACACAGCAGGGTTCCCTCCCACACACAGCAGGAGTCCCTCCCACACACAGCATGAGTCCCTCCAACACACAGCATGAGTCCCTCCAACACACAGCAGGAGTCCCTCCAACACACAGCAGGAGTCCCTCCAACACACAGCAGGAGTCCCTCCAACACACAGCATGAGTCCCTCCAACACACAGCAGGAGTCCCTCCAACACACAGCGGGGGGGTCCCTCCCACACACAGCAGGAGTCCCTCCAACACACAGCAGGAGTCCCTCCAACACACAGCAGGAGTCCCTCCAACACACAGCGGGGTTCCCTCCCACACACAGAAGTCCCTCCAACACACAGCAGGAGTCCCTCCAACACACAGCAGGAATCCCTCCAACACACAGCGGGGTCCCCTCCCTCACACAGCAGGAGTCCCTCCAACACACAGCAGGAGTCCCTCCAACACACAGCAGGAGTCCCTCCAACACACAGTGGGGTTCCCTCCCACACACAGCAGGAGTCCCTCCAACACACAGCAGGAGTCCCTCCAACACACAGCGGGGTTCCCTCCCACACACAGCAGGAGTCCCTCCAACACACAGCGGGGTTCCCTCCCACACAGCAGGAGTCCCTCCAACACACAGCAGGAGTCCCTCCAACACAGCAGGAATCCCTCCCAGGCCCATCAGTCATTCCCAGTCCCATCAGAGTCCCTCCCAGACCAAGGACGAGCCTGGCCCAAGGCCGGGCTCCAGGAATGAAACAGCTCTCTGAACTCGTCAAATTTAAGGATGGTCCCCATGAGACCAAGAATGGTCCCTGTAACGCCTGGGTCAGGTTGGGGCGTGGACCTCACTCTCACTTTTCAACTTCAGACATTCAACGCCTAGGCGGATACGAACTAGCAAACCCAAGCAGCAAACCCTCGAGGTCACACTTAATATGAGCGTCAACCAAGAGCGTCAGGAGACGTACCTGCTCTGTGAATAGATTATTAGGCGGGGGAATACTCCTGCTATCCGAGTTGGTCTCTTTCTTCCCCGACCCTCTACTGCTACTGAAACAGTTCCCCATCTCGACTTAGCACAACGGGGCGCTTCACTGACACTCGCACATCACTGCTTATCACTTCACATTAGCACAAACACGCGGTAACGGCCACTGAGCGAGGAAATACGAGACATGGCAGTCAGTGCCACCACACGGTTCACCATTTTCACTTTCCCAACACAACAACCGCAGCACCGCCACGACCTGCTGCTCCTACCCCGCCACCAACTAGTATCTCTTATTACACTCTCATTTCCACAGTATTTGTCACCCATAAAACCATCTCTTATCACGGCTTATCTCAAGATTTATCAATTTATTGCCATATATTTATCTCAAACTCCTCATTAAATATTATTTTGTAAAATAGAGAATGCAGGCGGAGGAATACCCTGAAGAATGTGGATGGAGCTGATCACAAACAATCAGTTATTATGAGCTTTAATTACTCACACACGCTCATAAATAACATGTCACCTTCATTAATACACCATGTACGATATAATACATTGTTGTACGAGACTGTACGGTTCGTTCCATTATAGTTTACTTACGGAGTAATGTAGACAAAAAGAAGTCTTCCTTGAGAATGAACGGTGGGAGGCACTCACTTCGTTTGGCTTTATTGAGTTATTCTAACTTAACTCTACATAATTTGTCATTCAATGTGCCAATAACACTTGTGTGTCCTCGAAAAAATTGTATGAATGTTGTGTGTTACGTACACATTACCTAAATAAGACAAAAATCAAAATGTAGCTGGCAACTCTGCCACCATTTGTTTGTTTACCTTCATGACGCGGGTGTGACCCCACCTTGTATACTGCTGACACTGACACTATACTGCTGACACTGACATTATACTGCTGACACTGTATACTGCTGACACTGACACTATACTGCTGACACTGACACTATACTGCTGACACTGACACTATACTGCTGACACTGTATACTGCTGACACTGACACTATACTGCTGACACTGACACTATACTGCTGACACTGTATACTGCTGACACTGACACTATACTGCTGACACTGACACTATACTGCTGACACTGACACTATACTGCTGACACTGTATACTGCTGACACTGACACTATACTGCTGACACTGACACTATACTGCTGACACTAACACTATACTACTGACACTGACACTATACTGCTGACACTGACACTATACTGCTGACACTGACACTATACTGCTGACACTGACACTATACTGCTGACACTGACACTATACTGCTGACACTAACACTATACTACTGACACTGACACTATACTGCTGACATTGACACTATACTGCTGACACTGACACTATACTGCTGACACTGACACTGTATACTGCTGACACTGACACTATACTGCTGACACTGACACTATACTGCTGACACTGACACTATACTGCTGACACTGACACTGTATACTGTTGACACTATACTGCTGACACTGTATACTGCTGACAATGACACTATACTGCTGACACTGACACTGTATACTGTTGACACTGACACTGTATACTGTTGACACTATACTGCTGACACTGTATACTGCTGACACTGACACTATACTGCTGACACTGACACTGTATACTGTTGACACTGACACTGTATACTGTTGACACTATACTGCTGACACTGACACTGTATACTGCTGACACTGACACTGTATACTGTTGACACTGACACTATACTGCTGACACTGACACTATACTGCTGACACTGACACTATACTGCTGACACTGACACTATACTGCTGACACTGACACTATACTGCTGACAATGACACTGTATACTGTTGACACTATACTGCTGACACTGACACTGTATACTGCTGACACTGACACTGTATACTGTTGACACTGACACTATACTGCTGACACTGACACTATACTCCTGACACTGACACTATACTGCTGACACTGACACTATACTGCTGACACTGACACTATACTGCTGACACTGACACTATACTCATATGACTCAGTTTTTAGCAAGCCGCTAACCAGACTGAGAGTCGAAGATCAAAATGAATTTTTTATGAGAGAGCCACAAAATTTGATTAACACAAGCCTATCCGATGTTATCCTGACGCCAAATGACTTCGAACAGGCGATAAATGACATGCCCATGCACTCTGCCCCAGGGCCAGACTCATGGAACTCTGTGTTCATCAAGAACTGCAAGAAGCCCCTATCACGAGCCTTTTCCATCCTATGGAGAGGGAGCATGGACACGGGGGTCGTCCCTCAGTTACTAAAAACAACAGACATAGCCCCACTCCACAAAGGGGGCAGTAAAGCAACAGCAAAGAACTACAGACCAATAGCACTAACATCCCATATCATAAAAATCTTTGAAAGGGTCCTAAGAAGCAAGATCACCACCCATCTAGAAACCCATCAGTTACACAACCCAGGGCAACATGGGTTTAGAACAGGTCGCTCCTGTCTGTCTCAGCTACTGGATCACTACGACAAGGTCCTAAATGCACTAGAAGACAAAAAGAATACAGATGTAATATATACAGACTTTGCAAAAGCCTACGACAAGTGTGACCATGGCGTAATAGCGCACAAAATGCGCGCTAAAGGAATAACAGGAAAAGTCGGTCGATGGATCTATAATTTCCTCACTAACAGAACACAGAGAGTAGTCGTCAACAGAGTAAAGTCCGAGGCAGCTACGGTGAAAAGCTCTGTTCCACAAGGCACAGTACTAGCTCCCATCTTGTTCCTCATCCTCATATCCGACATAGACAAGGATGTCAGCCACAGCACCGTGTCTTCCTTTGTAGATGACACCCGAATCTGCATGACAGTGTCTTCCATTGCAGACACTGCAAGGCTCCAGGCGGACATCAACCAAATCTTTCAGTGGGCTGCAGAAAACAATATGAAGTTCAACGATGAGAAATTTCAATTACTCAGATATGGTAAACATGAGGAAATTAAATCTTCATCAGAGTACAAAACAAATTCTGGCCACGAAATAGAGCGAAACACCAACGTCAAAGACCTGGGAGTGATTATGTCGGAGGATCTCACCTTCAAGGACCATAACATTGTATCAATCGCATCTGCTAGAAAAATGACAGGATGGATAATGAGAACCTTCAAAACTAGGGAGGCCAAGCCCATGATGACACTCTTCAGGTCACTTGTTCTATCTAGGCTGGAATATTGCTGCACTCTAACAGCACCTTTCAAGGCAGGTGAAATTGCCGACCTAGAAAATGTACAGAGAACTTTCACGGCGCGCATAACGGAGATAAAACACCTCAATTACTGGGAGCGCTTGAGGTTTCTAAACCTGTATTCCCTGGAACGCAGGAGGGAGAGATACATGATTATATACACCTGGAAAATCCTAGAGGGACTAGTACCGAACTTGCACACGAAAATCACTCACTACGAAAGCAAAAGACTTGGCAGACGATGCACCATCCCCCCAATGAAAAGCAGGGGTGTCACTAGCACGTTAAGAGACCATACAATAAGTGTCAGGGGCCCGAGACTGTTCAACTGCCTCCCAGCACACATAAGGGGGATTACCAACAGACCCCTGGCAGTCTTCAAGCTGGCACTGGACAAGCACCTAAAGTCAGTTCCTGATCAGCCGGGCTGTGGCTCGTACGTTGGTTTGGGTGCAGCCAGCAGCAACAGCCTGGTTGATCAGGCGCTGATCCACCAGGAGGCCTGGTCACAGACCGGGCCGCGGGGGCGTTGACCCCCGAAACTCTCTCCAGGTAAACTCCAGGTACTGCTGACACTGACACTATACTGCTGACACTGTATACTGCTGACACTGACACTATACTGCTGACACTGACACTATACTGCTGACACTGACACTGTATACTGTTGACACTGACACTATACTGCTGACACTGACACTGACACTATACTGCTGACATTGACACTATACTGCTGACACTGACACTATACTGCTGACACTGACACTGTATACTGTTGACACACACTATACTGCTGACACTGACACTGACACTATACTGCTGACACTGACACTATACTGCTGACACTGACACTATACTGTTGACACTGACACTATACTGCTGACACTATACTGCTGACACTGTATACTGCTGACACTGACACTATACTGCTGACACTGTATACTGCTGACACTGACACTATACTGCTGACACTGACACTGTATACTGCTGACAGTGACTGTATACTGCTGACACTGACACTGTATACTGCTGACACTGCATACTGCTGACTGACACTGTATACTGCTGACACTGTATACTGCTGACCATGCATACTGCTGACACTATACTGCTGACACACACTATACTGTTGACACTATACTGCTGACACTATACTGCTGACACTATACTGTTGACACTAGACTGCTGACACTATACTGTTGACACTGTATACTGCTGCCCCTCAAGGAAGGTTCCTTGATGTTGGTGAGGGGCTCTTGATTTAGGGAATTGGATCTGTGCTCCAGTTCCCCGAATTAAGCCTGAATGCCTTCCACATCCCCCCCCCCAGGCGCTGTATAATCCTCCGGGTTTAGCGCTTCCCCCTTGATTATAATAATAATAATGTATACTGCTGACACACACTATACTGCTGACACTGTATACTGCTGACACTATACTGTTGACACTGTATACTGCTGACACTATACTGTTGACACTGTATACTGCTGACACTATACTGTTGACACTGTATACTGCTGACACTATACTGCTGACACTATTGTTGACACTATACTGCTGACACTACTGCTGACACTGACACTATACTGCTGACACTGACACTGTATACTGTTGACACTGACACTATACTACTGACACTGTATGCTGCTGACACTGACACTGTATACTGCTGACACTATGCTGCTGACACTGACACTGTATACTGCTGACACTGACACTATACTGTTGACACTGACACTGTATACTGATGACACTGACACTGTATACTGCTGACATTGACACTGTACTCTTGACACTGACACTATGCTGCTGACACTGACACTATACTGCTGACACTGACACTATACTGCTGACACTGTATACTGCTGACACTGACACTGTATACTGTTGACACTGTATACTGTTGACAATGTATACTGCTGACACTGTATACTGTTGACACTGACACTGTATACTGTTGACACTACTGCTGACACTATACTGTTGACACTATATCG